GGTCAAGGCGCCTGCTGGCTTTGTGGACAGGTGGTGGCCGGGGACAGCGCCGCTGGGCACCGCTGTGCTGCCTTCAGTCAGCTCCTGGGTTCAGAAAGTACTGAACGCCTGGGTACGTTTTCTGCGGTACCTGGGCAGTGTACTGAAGTATATTATATTTTGAAGTCATTTGTTTTTCTCTCGAATTCCTGAAATAAGGCTTCATTTATTGTGTCTTTGAGCACTGAGTGGTGCCTAGATTTCAGGTGGCTTTGTTCAAAAACGTTTTCACATTTGCACAAACTCAGGGAGCAACTTGTAAATGGGCGGAAAATTTAGCAAAACTGCTCCCACCTTTGTTTAAAAAAAATATGAAGTACTGACCAATGCAGCACGCAGTGGAGTGTTTATGTAACCTGTGAGTCCAAAGTTTTGATTCATTGTTTCAGGCATGAATGGATGACATCAAAACTTTAGATCTCACTATACATTTAAAAGAAGGGAATGCATCTGTTTAGAAAGTATTTGTATGGAGTCCCTGAGTGTCTCTATTCGTGTTCTTATATATTTATATATATATTATCATTCACTTATATATTATATATTATATATATATTATCTTATATATTATCATTCACTTATAATTTATATATATATAATTCACTTAAGAACTAATGCTGTTTTTCTGAAAAAAAAAAAAAAAAAACTTGCTGATTATGTTCCTTAGGCTAAAGAATCTAGAAACTAGTGATTTTTGGAACTATTGAAACTTAAGCAAGACCTTTTTTTCTGTTATTTTGAGTTGTTAGTATTACTCAATAATAGAAACATTTTAATAGGAAAACTTCAAAAGAAAAATGAGCAACAATTTACCCAAGATGCCATTTGTAATGCCAGCCTCACAAATGTCCCTTATTATTCTTAGCTTTTTAACAACTCTAATTGGCAACAAATTTTAACACTATGTTCATAACAGAATGAAGATTTGTCTTCATTTCATAAAGATTCAACAGAAGAGCCATCATTTAGACCAAACTATAAAGTGTCAAAATGTACTCTATTGCTTTAGGGTGCTGCCTCTGTTGATTGTATTCAATCCTTAAATTCTTAGAATGTTTTATTCTAAAATCCTATTTCCATGTCTGAGAAAAAAACTGCAACAGTTAATTCAGGAGCAATTTAGGTTTTTTTTTTTAATTTTTAATAATAAGTGGGAATGTTTCTAACATGTAAAAATCTACACAAGAAGAAAAAAACTGTAGAATTTGGATCAAAGTGATGACTTTAAACTTTAATATTAGCAACACTGAAGATAACTATCTTAAACTTCAGGAGAAATAACTGCAGATATGTACTAAGCACAAATGATAGCATAAGTAATCTACAATGTTTAGGGAGGTTTTAGTAAAGTTAGGTAGTATTGGGAGCTTTAGTTTTCAGAATTTCCATCAAGATATTCTAGTTTGGGGACTTCCTGGTGGCCTTTGGGTTAAGTCTCAGGGCCACCCTGGCAAACACCCTCGCAGAGCGTGGCAAAGTAGCCTGAGTTCCAGTTCCCAGACAGGGAGCTGACCCTTGTGGCGCAGCAGACCTCTCTTGACCTGCCCACTGCTCCCCTCAGTAGTGTATTTCAGTGGATCCACTGTCCTGCTCCCCCCTCTGTTCTCTGGTGAATCCTCTCACCCCTCTGGCCTACATCCCAGTTCTTTTACACGCACCAAAAAAAGATCTGTTTAATAGTTATCATCTGTGACCATATTCTTAAAGCCTTAAATGGTCTAAGAAAACTTGATAATTATGGAAGCTGGGTAGTGTAAACATGATGGTTCTTTATTTTTGTATTTGTATAAATATTTTGTAATATTTATGTATTTTTGAAATTTTCTGTAATTAAAAAAATTACAATCTAATTTTAGAACATTTTTATCGTATTTCATCATATTTTCCACCACATTTTCAAACATTGCATCATGTGCAACACTGATAAAACTAACAAAAGTAAATAAAATATAGCAAGTAGCACCCTTGTCTCCTACTTTAGTATTCCAGATAATTAATTTTTTCAAAGAAACTGAAGTTTGTCAGGAGCTTAGCATGCTCACGCTAATTGAAAATCATGCCATCCATCTTCGCTGTGCCTCTGATACAGCTGGGCGGTGGGGTGATTTTCTTGAAGGCTGGGCAGTGGCTCTCCGGCTTGGTGTGTTCTGTTCCTGCCCACCGCCCACCCCAGCCACTAACTAGGGGCTCTTTTTGTCTCTATGGAGTCTTTGGATCCTTACTTGCATTCCGTTTCTGCAGAAATTACTCCAGGCAAGCAGAGGTGCCCCTGGTTGTTCTGGAAACCAGCACTCTACCATTTCTTCAAGCTTGCTTTCTTGGTGTTCCGAGCTTCTTACCCAGCCTTTTTAGTTACAGCAGGGTTTCCGATGGAAGTTTGGCAGAACACTTCTTGTTTTTAAGTGAGGTTTATTGAAATATACTTACATGCTATAAAATTCATCATTTTTATTATACAGTTGTCTTGAATTTTGAAAAACACTACAAAATAAAGACAATTTTCCATTGCTTTTTAAAAAATTTCCTGGCCCGCCTGGTCTCCCCTGCCCCTGATCCATAAAAACCATGGATATGATTTCTAGACCTACAGTTTATTGCCTGTCATAGGAGAGGAGGGTCACACATTGTCTCAAAACTTTTGTGCCTGGTTTCTTTCACTTAGCATGTGTATGTATGTGTGTTTTAAGGAAGCAACTTTATTTTAAAATAATTTTAGATTTGCAAAAATAGTACACACTGTTCCCAAATATTGTTTACCTAATTTCCCTTAAGGGTGACGTTTGGGCTGACTGGTGGAGGAGGACCTAAACAAGGACATTTATATTGGTATAGTATAATTGATTTGCAGACTTCATTCAGATTTTGCCAATTTCCCTACTAATATCCCCTTTTAGATTTTTATTTTGTTTTCTATAATAATAGCCTTATCTGATGTTGGTATTCTGTGCAATTATGTTCAACAGGAGTTAATTTGAGCTAATGCATTTTGGGGAAAGATACTACCCAAATGATATGCTCTTCTCATTGTATTATGCAGTAGATACATCTTATTCCTGGTGATCTTAATTAACTTTGATCACTTGGTTAAGGTAATGTCTGGTAGATTTTCAACTGTCGAGTTAGTGTTGCATAAAACTAATAATTCATACACATTGCTTATTTTGGTATTTTCTTCTTGTTATTGCCTAGCAGTATTTTATTTGCCATTTTAAAACTGATGGCCATTTGGATTGCTTCCAGTGTGGGGGCCTGTTACTGTCCAATAGGCTTTCATGATTTCCCATTGAACATAATTGCAGAATACCAACATCAGACAAGGCTGTGATGTGAGCACAGTGAATCAGCACAAAAATAAGACAACTCCATAATTAGGTCTGAAGCCAGACAAAAACAAGAACATTGCTTAAACCACAAAAAAAAAAAAAACAAAAAAAAAAAACCCAGCACATTTTCATCTTGGCTACTGTGAAGGCTGCTCCTTCTTCCTGACCAATCATAGCTCTGCTCTCCCTTCTCTTTCCATCTGAACTGGGGTATAGGCCAGAGGTGCAGGAGTGGTGAGAGGATTCACCAGAGATGGAATGGGGAGCAGAACAGGCAGATGGACAAAGTGCACTGCTGAGGGAAGCAGCAGGCAAGACAGGCATTGTGCCACCAGGGAGGGCTCTCTTTCAATCCCTTGTATAAGCTTCATTAAAACATTCAGGTAAAAAACAAAAAAAATTCATGTAGAATATCCTGTTTCCCTGACAGTATCCAATGCAAAGCAAAGCCCCACTTTCATTATCATCTCCCTCCTCCCACCACACCCCAGGATCCTTTAGGCTGGTGCTGAGGGGCCGCTTCTACCCGCTGCCGATGACTGCATGCGCGCCCTGACACTAAGGGCTGAGTCCCACAGCCTCAGGTGTGTCCTGGCCTTTGGCTGGAGCTCACAGAAAGCAGAAACACATATCCTGGCTTCCTTTTCTCCCCTACCCTTCCCCAATTCTAAATCTTTTTACTAATTTCTTTTGATATCTTCCATATTTTTAAAACACAAATGCAAATATGTACTATAATATATATTCATGTCTATTTTGCTTTATCTTATAAAACACTATTTCCACCTTGTTTTCCCTGTCCATATTATGTTCTGGAAGTCTGTCAAATCAGAATATCTTTTTTCTGGGGTTTTTCACATTTGAATATTAACTTTGGTATGATTTGGGGGGAAGAAGTCATCTGGTTGACACTCCCAAGAGGTTGAGCCTCATCTTCCAACCATTTGTTTTTCACCTCTCTGAATATCCTCTTTCTTGATAACAACACTCACTTCTGAAGTCAGTGAGCCATCTGCCTGTAGATACTGCAGCATTCAGCAAGTCACATTTAATGTGACTTGTTTATTTGTCACATTATTTTTTTGTTCTTCTTTATTTTTCCTATAGTAAAATTCACCTGATACCTGGTCTGGTATCCAGTCTGCTCATTTTAAGTGCACAGTTCAGGAGTGTTAAGTATCTTCACATTGTTTTGTCCCCAGTTTCCAGAACTCCTTTATCTTGGAGAGACCCTCTGCATCTATTATTTTTAAGTATAGTTTACATGTAGCAGAATGAATCCTTTTTTAGTATAGAGATCTGTGGGTGTTGAGAGACACATGTTAACCACCACCACAACCATGTAGGATAACTCCACCCACCCCCACTCTGTCCCTTGGGATTCATGATTCATTCTTCCCTGTGCCAGCAGCCAATGGAATATTTCCTGTCCCCATAGTTTCATCTATTC